AAAGAATGGAAGAAATTTATTTAACATGCCGCCTTCATTAAAAACCTTCTGAATTCATGCCATTCCTTCATTCGATTGGGCTTGCTGGCAACTATACTGTGGTATAGTTACATCAGAGAAATGGTATTTGTCTCAATTTTACAATGAACTTTATTGATCGAAAGGTCAAGAAGTATAAGTTTGTTTTTTGTACTGCAATACTAGGAATAGTCTTGGTGAGAAAGATTTGCAGAACAACATGGAACCATGAGTCAGTGGAATTCCCTAAATGTCTCACCCGCAGCAGTGAACCAAACGAATACAGTGCAATACAGTACTGTAGTTTCACTCGGGTATCCAGGAACGAAGTGCATGTTGGATGATTCATGTTGTAAACGGTTCCACGCGGCAGCCAGTTTTTGAGAGGCACCTCTGCGTGGAGCTTCTTCCCAATAACTGAATTACAAAGAATTGAACGTACAGTATTCGTTGATGACGTTCGCATTCGAATCAAAAGCACCTGCTTAGTACAGCCTGGATGAGCCTTGAAACCGTGACTCACTGCGTCGCTGCCTGAGGTCATACGTGTTGTCAGCTGTGGTTGCTAATGTCAATTCAGTATGAGTAGGATCCCTTATGCCGAGCCATCCAAAAATATATATGGAGCGACATCTACTTCCTCAGTGCTAACGGTGGCTACCTTGTTACACAAAACCGCTGCGAGTTCACATAAGCATTCATCAAGCCGAGAAGAGGATTCATTTTTGGTTCACGTTTCGCTGAAGTTTTGGATATATTTTGCAAAGTTGGAAAAAGTGCATGGTTCGGGATGATTTTTTGCATATACGTTAATTGTGTAATGAAATTTAAAAATATATGTACTAGGGCAAAAGTTGTAACATCAAGGAGAGATTTACGATTATTGATGACATTAGAAAAGTACTGTATTTGAAAATTTCATTGTTGATAACTCAATTGCCAATATTTTCTTGAAAACCAAGCAGGAAAACTCAAAACATGATCAGAACTAGATCACACAATACAGGTACTGTTTCTATAATATTCTTCAGATACAAAACAGATGCACCATAAAGTGCACTGGGAGATGAATCGAACCGGGTGGAACAGTCTCTTTTTACATGCATTTATTCATTGGATTTTATAACATGGTTTATCAGCACTGAATATAATTTTACCCATTTTAAATCGAAGACTTTGCAACGGAAACTCAAGTCTTTGTTGGTAGTCTCTCAAAGACAAATAAATTGACTGGACAATCGTAAGTAATTTTAGTTATATTGTTTCATGCGGGTTTCTTATGCTATTATTGTATTATGAGGATAGATGTGTTTTTTCAACATTGTTATTGGGTGACAAATGATTGTGGCTTATTGGGAGACTCTTGACTGGTTATGAGGGCAGCATACCATGGAAATAGTGCTGAGTTTTCCATTTGAAAAAAGAGAGACATTAACATTTTGAAAAGCATTACAATGCACTCTAAATATTTCTGAGAAACAAATGTTTATTAATCATTAAGCTCTAACAACTTTTCAAGTTTATTATTTTGAAAATGGATCAATTTTATATTCTTTGGTCGAGGAAATACTATACCTTCAAGGAAATGAAGTGTTATTTGCCCAAAAGATTTTTTTTTTCTACGAAACACAGGATCGGAACAAATTTTGCTCATTTTGCAAGTCAGCACTGCTGCGTCAAAGTTTGTATATCTACCAATAGGAGGAAAATTAGAGATAAGTACATTTTTCAGAACAGACCCAATGGCTTTCATTCTCTACATTGACTGTGTTCGGGATTCGAATGCATATTTTCATTAATCGAGAGTTGAGGAGGAATGTTGAAGCTGAAGAAGTACGGTTCCACAGTATCATGTTCCGCTCTTTTCAAGAAGCGCTATTTTTTTATGCGTTCAGTTATGTATGTGACGCAAGATGTAAAAATTCTAGAAGTGAATCTAGTGTTGCGCATTTTTCCAAGTACTGTACTGCACATTCCATTTAAAATTTCACTGGATTTAATACAGATATGCATAACTTTTCCAGAGCTTCGAAATATAAACTAGATAATAAAACTGTAGAACACTCGAGATCACCAATTTTCAAACAGGAATGATGATATGGACTTCTGAAGTAATGACCCCTGCGAAGTGCCAGAAACAGAAAATTGTTTGTGTATTTGGGTTGGATAGTACATCATCATGTTCCTGTCAAGAATGTGGACAACACAGCACTGATATTCATGAAAATGCTGTAACTATATATGATGAAATTTCGTACAAGACTATTGCATTAGCATGATGACAATGGAAATCGGAGTGTATCAAAATTTCGCACTTCCCATCCGAATTTTCCTCTAGTCCCTTCTGCTGGTCATCGTGCATCAAGGCATATTTCCTCATACGATTGAGAAATGCATTGATGACGAGTGCCGTAATGTGAACGAAGGTTAAATAAAAAAAGACAGTATATCGTACCTGCAAACCGAGAATTCATCGCACAATCTAGAGCAGCTCACAAATAAAAACAGTCAAATCCGAGTTTCGTACCCCCACACAGATTTCATCGCACGATCTAGAGCAGCTGATCAAAAACAAAAAAACAGTCACTTACGAGCTCCACGCCCCCACACACAAATAAGTTTCAACAAAATGTCCGGGTGAATGAAAAACGAACAACTCGGATCAAGACGTTCACCGTCCCTAGAAATGATAACTTTGTAATCCATCTTGATGTACTTGAAGATTCTGCCATCTACTTCGTAAGAAGCCAAAGTTGCCAGATTCCGAAGGGTTTGAGCCACCTCTACTTCAAGCGGTGGCCATTGATAGCCTCGAGCAGAATACTCGTCCAAATCATGCAGGAGGCCTGAAACCAGACTACACACAAAAGCACGATTTTGAAACCACTCGCGATTACTTCCCCATTCCCTGTATAAAAAATTCCTCAACATTCTGAACTTGTAGATCAGACTGCCTTCTAATTTGTTGGCTCTCTTATCTTCAGCCGACAGTTGCTGCTCTTCGTCGGGAACGTCGTTGGGCGAAACGCCGTGGATCCACCACATGAGGTTCGCCACTCGGGGATGCCTCACGTCCGACTGCATCCCGAACCACACACGCTTCACCTGCAGTCCGACTTCAGCGTCACCCACGGGCCAACCACGTGGCAGCACGGCATCTGCTGGACCCTGAATCACACACACAAGAAAACAAACAGGCAGGATTAATAGTCACGTCTTTAGTTTCACGAAGCTTCAGCAATCATCACCTGGAAGGGCTCAGGTTCAGAAACTGGACCCTGAAGCGATCCTGAGACTGCTACTACACCATCCATCGTATCCTCACTAAGAAGATGAAGATTAGAATAATTTCATCACACAAAACGTCTCAAGCCAGTACTGTAAATCAAAAAGCATATTTATTGAACCTGAGAACGTATAAACTTACTTGATATTAGAATGCTGCATGTTGATTTTGAAAATCACCTGAAATGAGCTTTGTGAAGAAAAAGAAAAATCACCAGCAGTGGGGCTCCCTGTTGGTAAACGAAGAGTTTGATGAACCATCTTATCAATACAAGTCAAAATAGCAGTCGAATCCAATTATTCATAAAAACAAAAAATAAGATGGCTTTAGTGGTGAACAAAATCAATCACTCAACAAAAAGGGTGACAACATGGATTTCTTTCGTTATCACGGTTATGAAAACCAACTTTTCTTCAATAATTTCTTCGTGTATCTTACTTATCATGAACAACATTCATTTAATTTCTTCCCTTATAATACGGATACATTCTTCGTAGGATTTATTTTTTTCGTAATTTCTGATTGATGATTATTCTCTCTCGGGGACAGAGCTTCCACATCAACTGGAAAGCTGTGACATGGAAGCTTTAACCATCAAAAAATAAGATGGCATTAGAGGTTAACAAAATCAATCACTCAACAAAAAGGGTGATAACATGGATTTATTGGATTAGGGGTCATCGGACGTTATGAGGGAGCCAGCTTTGCACATCCCTTTTCGGTCTGTCTACTGTACAATTAATGGAACTTGGCGAAAAAAAAACAAATGGAACCTTGAATTATTTCAATTGGAATCGCGCATGATAGCTACACTAGTGTGTCATACTTATTTCAAGACTTTTATTTTTTGGAATAAGTACAGGAAAAGCGTGAGAAATGGAACATCTTATAGAACTGTCCCAAATTGGCACCGCAGAAGAGAGCTCCCAACATCTCCTACATGTATATATTGTAAATACAATACCTGTTATTCCTAAAATACAGGTGGACTGCTTTTAATGGAAATTGTGCTAATCAACACTTTTGAATAAATTTTTTCAAGTAAAAAAGAGATTAGCACTGTTGAAAAATAACAGAATAACAAAGTAATAAAAAAACTCATCCCCCTTCAACTCAAAAATTATGAACAGCTTCCCTGTTCCCGATTGAACAGTTTAATCAAACCCAAAATAAATCAATTTTGCATTGCTTCCATTGAAAATATAATAACTCAGTGTTGAAATTTTTACAAAAGAATCAAATATAAAAAATATCAGAAGTTGTAGAACTTCGAAACCCACTGATGATGCAACCCCTTTTTGCCCACTTGATGTCGAAAAAAAGGTGTTGTGGTACTTGAGTAAATACTACATATTAGAGCAACAGCTTATTTGCATTGAAGTTCATCTTCGATGGTGGCTAGAATCTGTCAGCTGAAGGTGCTGTAAAGAAAAAAAAAACCCCAGCCATAGAAAATGCCACGTGCACAAAAACCTAACGAGAAGAAAATTACCAAGCCAAGAGCATTTATGACCAGTTCCCTGATAAACATTATTTATGAAGGTGGAAAGCTGAGAGCGGACTACCGTATACCCAACGGATTTACTTAAGCAAGGATATAATGCTTCCAAAGCCATTGAAAAAAAAAGCAAGGGATTCTCGAAAGTTCCTAGTATATGGTTCCTGCACCGGATTTCTCCTTCAAGAGGCTGGTTCACTCTTATTTTACACTTCCTCCGTTACTCATGCTGCTCGTGATGTTCTTTCTCCCAACATCCCTGGGCCATAAGAAAACCCAAGCAGGATGAAAGGGGGAGGGGGGGTGCTGATGGTTGTTGAGAATGAGGTCGTCGGGGGAATGACACCCGGCACCGGCTTTCCTGCAAGTTTGATCTCTTCGCACAGCTGCGCCATTGTGTAACAAGGAAACGAACGACCCAGCACTGTGAACCAATCCGCACACTTCCCGCCCGAAGACCTTTGTTCGGCGGTCCACGTCATCTCGGCGCCAAGCAAGCGCGCGCGGTGTTCCTGATGCCACGGACACACAAAATTCGGGCGCGCGCGCGCTCATTTCACTTCCTTCTGTTCAACACCCTCCGCTCATCCCCTCCCCTCCTTGTCCACCTTTCGCAGCAACAGCAGCAATTGAGGCGGAAGCGGAAGAGGTATTATCGCCCTGCCCGGGACCCTTGATCCCGTGACAGATGGAGAAACGGTACAACGACCCAAGATGAAGCACCTGGCTGCTCATTGAGAAGATGACAGCTGTGTCCGCATAGAGCTGATTAGATGACAGCCCCACCTTGAGGCCAGCACGAATTCCCATTCACGATCCTTCCTACTCGTTCCAGGACTGCTGCTCACCATTTCCTCATGAACAGGATGGCAGATGCTGGGGATCATCAAGGCGAACATTCAAGCGTTTCTCCGCCAGTGAGGTCAGTTCGGAGTCGGCAAGTGACGTTAGATTAATCTGCACTGCTGGGGATTGTTTCCTACACTTCTTACAATCTTATACAGTACAGTATTTTCACTCGTATATCGCTTATTTCCATTAAGCAGGGAGTCGGTTTCAAAAGCATGGGAACGGGGACGTGAACAGATCGTGACCCAACAAGTCTGATATCTACCAAAGGTTCAAGATTCTCATAGCTGGGCAGTCTCCCGAAAACTATAAATCATTTGTAATTGACCAAAACGAACAGTGTAATTTTCGGTTCAAATCATGATTGACTCTTTTCCATTAACGGGGGTAATAAGTACAACACTTTATATAGAACTAGACCTTCATGATAAGAATGTTCCAGCAAAGAAATGATCAGGTAACGCTGGGAGCTTTTCATGAGCTGTGATCAATTTAATAAGCCGTATACTCCGTGGTGAAAGGTTTGTAACACTTTCGTGTCAAATTTTCCCGTTACATATACTTCGACGTTTGGACACACTATCGGCCGAACATTGGTGCATGAGAGAAACGATCCGACATGGCACAAATACGTTTACACAGCAGATGAAAAAATGCCCTACGATAGCACGTTCGAAACGTTATACGGTATGCAATTATCTCAAGAAAAATAATCAGCAAATCACAGCATTACTTTGATCCACAGTACATGAAACGCTCGAAATAACACCGAAGTTTTGAGCTGAACTAGATGAATAAACACGCGAGAGTAAAATTCCAGAACACAGTATATAGCGATCGAATCAAAACCTTGTCTGGAATTAAACTTGGAACGCCTAGCGCACGTCATATGAGGCATTGAAAAATCACATATGCACTGACGAACACTTTTTCACATGGATCAGAACACTTCTTCACATTGATCATCCGTTTAATTTTGGAATCTCTCGCAGAATCGCAGTCACCTACGTGTACACCGATGAGGCGTAAACGGTAATGACAACTTAAGTCACAGGGATGGAGATCAGTTCGGTATGAAAAGGGCGGAGACACTGGCGGGTTCAACGGAAAATCTCGAAATGGCACCAGAACCGAGGACAGTGCCCAACAGAGTGGCCAGATTCGGTTGGTATAACACCGTGAGGGTTTGAAGGACAGAGACCAGGAATCATGAGTCAAAATATTGCCAACCCCACCGAATCGCGCTGCCCTGTACACGTCATCCCTGCTCCTCCCAGATGAGACAATTTCCGTTGACTTCTTCTTCCGGTGAACGTTGGCCTCGTCTTGTTTTGGTTCTCCCATTCTAGCGCCCAAAACATCCTTCAAGGACTCATGGCGTTTCCCTTGAAACCCTTGAATTTGGAAGGTGAGTTTTATTGGTGCATCCGCGACGTTGAATAGTGCAATAAAAATTTCATCTTGAAAAGCAACTCAAGTTTTTCCACGTCGTGCGCCGTTTTGAAGTTAGAGTTTGTTCCTGGATGTTGGGGTTCCGGTATAACTCCCAGGTTTCGGGAAGTACGGAAGAAGACACGGAACTAATTCCAAACTATACAGTATATACGAATTGATTATCCCAGGATCTATGAGATAAATCGGCAAATTCACCAGTACTGTATAGGAACAATCATTTTTTCTTGTACAAGGTATATCAAATATATGAAATATTATTCATCTGGTAGTAATTTTCTGCATCAGAATCCTCAATTCATCAGTTTGCATTCAGCTCCATGAAGACAAAATGTAAATCGCGATTGAACCTCACAAAAAATCTCATGTTTAATTTTCACACTATGATCAGTTCAATATAGTTAATCATAAGCTCTTGATTAAATGCATATCCTTCCATGCGCTTGTACCTGTAAAGCTTCTCGGATGAAATTTCTTCATTCATCCTTTTACTTTTCATCGCGGTTTGTACGTGTGACGAGTTTGTCCCGAAAAGAACCGATTGATTTTGAATGATGTATATGATTTCATGGTTACGCGTATGTGCTTCTTTTTGTACACAAATAAATCGGTACACGACATGTAAGAGTACATGGGATGCGTGCGGGTTGTGGACTGTACACTACATAGAAGACAGCAGTATGGTACGGGTGGAATAACTACTGGTGATCAGCCCTTCCTCAGGTCTGCTTCGATTAATTTTCGGGAATGGCAGGCTTCGTGGAAATGAGAGACGAACTTCCGGTGTGATCCTGACCGAAAGAGTGTTGAGATCGATCTTCGTGTTGGAGTTGCAGGTTTCTACACTGATGCCGAAGTTCTTTCGGATATTCGATGCACCGGTTTCGTGCGGTCTGCTGAATCTCGACCTGGCATCCCAGCCAGTCAACTCATCTCCAAGCATTTACGGAGAACGTGGCGAAGTATCGCTGAGAAGAGGACTACGGAATGATGCGCGTTCAACACTGTGCAAGCTCAAGGGATTGACAATACTGTATAAGGATCTGCACTGTCTAACACTGACGATGACTTCCCGCCATCTGTCTCGACGAATTATGGCAAAAGCAAATCCTTCAAGAGTTCACTAGACCAATTTAGAGGAAGTAATGCACAGAGCAAACATACTTTGCCCTGAACTCTGGTTCTTTACTTGTTTTCACCATTTTTGACGAGCCTTAGATCGGAAGAGTTTTTGGTTCTCAAGCTCAAATGCAATCCAGTCTCATGCCAGCACTGTCCATGCAACAAGAAATAAAATGGAAATAAACATCACATTGATAAGAAAAAATATTAAACATGAATCATTCACCATGATGGAAAAAAAAAATTGAACATGAATCATTTACAAAAAATGAGCGACCCAGTTTGAGTGAATTAAAATGTTCAGTATATGAACAGCAAATGCATGCACAATTCAATTCAAATAAATGTTTACTGTGAGTCCAGCTCACTCAAGTGGGGTATTTGCTAGAACTACAGTATATCCAATCTACGTCACCTCAGTTCGCATCTCTCAACAAAATAATCAAGGAGAGGCTCCACCCTTTCCCAGCAAGCCGTGAATGCAATGATTTAAAATAAAAGCTGCCAGAATGAACGCCCAACTTTTGTCTTCATATACACAAATGGCTGCGCCTTTCAACAAGGATTCAAACATGGGTAGGTGTGGGAAATTCTCCTTAGGATTTCTCCTTTTTTTCCTGAGAGAATTGTATTTGTTCATAGAAAATTATTTGTAAAACATGATTGTTGAATATCTGTATTTATTTTGTGTTTTTGCAGTAATTTTGATTTTGGACTCGAGAGTTTCATACTTGAAGAGTCTTTGGACATTGTTTGACTGCTGGGATCCTTACAAGATTCCCCGGTCTGATCTAATATGGTCATTTGTATACAGAAAAGCAATTTACGCATTTTTGACCAATGTACAAGAACTTGTGAAAAACCCCTTTTTGTATTTTTGGTTTACCCCTTCAGGACCCTTGAGGCAGCCACAACCTCAGTACTCGGAGGTCACGTGATCCCGGGTGCGCGCGCGTCTGGGGGTTGTTGTCCGGCTCCCCCTTGTTGATGGTAACCTGATCCTCTTGAAGAGGGGATCCCGTACCTCTTTCCTGCAAGGCGCGTTGGCTTACGGATGTTGGCGTCTTGTTGACAATGGATACTTGCAGCTGGGATCTTGGAAATTTTTCATTGCAACTGCGCAGTAATGCGCAGCTGCACCAGTTGTTGTTTTCCTAAAACAAACATCTGTGCCCATCTGGCGTTTTGGCGCGCTCCCGGCCCAAGGGCCCTTTTGACGGCCATGTTCGCCATTCCCGCCTGAACCCCTGAGGGGTGAGGCTGTATTTTATTTTGAACAAAGATTTTTACACGCTTGTAATGTCAGAGGTTTCCGACTTCGAGAGTGTATGATTTTTTGTCATCGTATTTGAATATTGTGCCTTACATTCATGTATTGATTGTGATCCTCTTTATCAAGTGTGTTTTAGGCAGAAAAATCCTTTGCTTTGTCTGTGATTAAGTCGCAGAGTTTGGCTTTCTGGAACTTGTCAATCAGACAGTTCTCCATTTGTGCAAAGAAGTTTTATAATAAAAAGAAACCCTGTAAAAAGCAAATGCTGGGTTCTTTTACTTAAACAAGCTTTGAGGCACTGTGTCAACAGCGCGGGATAAAAACGACTTTGACTCCTTGACAGGCTGCCGGAGTTACGCCCGGATTTAAACAGCCCAGCACCATTCCAAGATTTGGAAAACAAAACGCCCCACAGGTAGCGTTATTGCCTGCATCAGTAAAAATCGTCAAGTGTTTTAAAGTTCCACCAAACAACCAAAGTTAACATCAAGCTGGAATTTAATATGGTCCTTTGGACCGGATCTACAAAAGTGTGCAACTGACCATACCCAAAAGTCCTGAAGTGATCCTCAGGCCGGCACCAAGCTTGTGCTGTTGTGTTTTTGCAAAATGAACACTCCCCAAGCCTTGATCGAAAATCAGGCAACAACCTTGGTTACGCTGAGTGTTGTGGGTTGAAAAAACTTTTGTGAAAAACAAAGTGAAAGACGGGAAAATTTCCAAACAGGACGAGTACCACAATACATCGGCCGAGGAGTTGTCCAAAACAGCCAGCCTACGAGTGACCCATCAGGGAGCCCAACTGGCTGCTCTGGCTGTTCCTCCGTCAGATCCTTTGCAAGGATCCCCCGCAGACATCACAAAGCAAAGCCCTCTACCAATCCAGAAAATGGATTACAAGCTGAACCACATCAACGCCAAGATCCAACAGATCATCAACTCCATGGATGAGTATTTGCGTGAGTTGGAACCTTGTTACGAGCATGGTAGGGAAATGCTAGGTCCCATTTCTTTTTGGATACACCATGGGGAGATGAGAGTAGAAGTGTTGGGTGATGCTAAAATGCGGAAAGAATCAGACCAAGTCCTTGTGATTGAATTCTTAAAATTAAAAGGGATCTTGCAAGGTAGGAGATCTAACTTGGTCACGTTTTTGAATGTCAAACACAAGGATGATGATGAATGTTTGCGCAATGTTACTTTGGTCAAGACGCCGGTCAGACCGGCCACGGTTTCAGTAATCTTGCAACGCAAAATAAATCAAAGGGCGGTTTCTGCACCCCCCAAGCCCCCCAGCATTGCTTACTCTCAGAGGAGCTCTGTCAGGGGTGGTGCTCTGCGATCTGTTTCCTTCGTGAGGAAGATCATGCAGGGCAAGTTAAAAATTATGGATTTGAAATTATCTGCTGTGATAGGAGATCCCTCTGAGGTGGGTCTACAGCAAGCCCTGCTTTGTGCCATTGATGACGCTAAGCAGGCCATCAATATTGACCGCCTCAAAAATGTAGTAGAGGACGTTGATGGAGATATTGTGGATTTGGTGGTGTTTGCCAGTGGCTGTCAGGCCAGGGTGGATAATGCCTTAAAAACTTTGAATGACCTCAGCCCTTCCCATGAAGAAGTGAATTCAAAATTGGAAAGATTATCCCTTGAAGAGGATCGGGTGCCATCAGAGGCGTCCAACACAGCCCACCGATCCCCTGCTATGGCAGAGCATCAAACTGTCTTGGATCCCTCTGATCAAGCCTTATTGAATTTTGGAAACAGAGGAAGAAGCTTTGAAGAATCTTCTGACTCTGTGGGAACCAAAGTGGTTCAACTGCTTGGGGACATGGCCAAGGATCACGTGCGGTCATCAAACTGTGAGGAGATCACTCCTCCTCCGCCTAGCCCCCCTCTTCCTGTTTTTGAGTGGATTTACCCCCCCCCCCCCCCAAAGACAAGAAGAAGTTTGACGGCAATGTCTTACTGTTTTTGAGTGGATTTCCCCCCCCCCCCCCAAAGACAAGAAGAAGTTTGACGGCAATGTCTTAGAGTACCTCAAATTCCAAGAGTATTTCAAGAATGCTTTCTTAAGCAACCCCTGATGTTCCCCTGTGAATAAGCTTGCATTGCTGAAGGATATGGTGACCGGCTGCGCTTCAGCAGTGGTCCGTCATTTCAAAGGCCCTGAGGCCATCACTTTTGCTCTTGCAGTCATGTATGAACGTTTCGAGTCAGCCCCTCTGAGGGAGGCCGAGCTGGAGTCCGAGGTATGTCATTTTTGTCCCATTCAGGGCAAGAATGTAAATGAGTGGGAAAACCTCACTGACTTAGTTGGTGCATGTTTGGAGCAGCATTTGGCTTCTGTAAGGCAGGAAAACAATTCTGTCTTGATTTCCCATTTGCTTGCCAAAATGCCCCTGGTCAGGAGAGAAAAGTGGGTCAAAAGGGAAAGGAAGGGAGGATACAGGGATCTTCCAGGCATTCAGCGCCTGGAATTCTTGCATTCCTTCATAAAATAAATTGCTAAGGATCTCCGCCTTGCCGTCGGTGAAGAAAAGGAAAAAATTCGGGTTCAACCTGAGAAGAAAGCTCCGCCTAAGCATACTTTCACCAAGGAAGGTAAGTTCTCCGCAACTGAGGAAAAACCTCCTGTGTCTGCTGGGAGTAAGGTTCCAGTTCAAGAAGAAAGTTCTGTTTGTCCCATGTGCAAAGAAAAGCACAAACTTTGAAAATGTGGCATCTTTGCCAAGCTTGAGCCCAATGCACGAGTGCTGAAGGCACTGGAGCTGAAGTTGTGTTTTAACTGTCTCAGTCCTCACACAAAGGCTGAATGTACGAATACGAGAGTGTGTAGCGTGGTGCCGGACTGCAAGTACCAACACCATCCACTTTTGCATGGGGCCAGATCCTTGAAAGAATTGTTACCAAAAAAGGAGGAACAAAAGGATCCCGCCTTTACAATGGTGGAGATAACCATCATGAGCACATTTGCTGAAGGATCCCCTTTTGATTTGCAGCATACGTTGCGCTTCATCTCCCTAGATATCCAAGGTCCCTCCAGGTTGATAAAAACAGTCTCCGCCTTGTTGGATCCGGGCTGCGCCTGCACCACCATCAAGGAAGGATTGGCACGAGAACTTGGAATGATCTCTACTGCAACTGGAAACGTTCTGGTGAAGACTGCGATTGGCGTCTCATGCCGTGCTGTGTCCTTTGCCTTCAGAGGCTCTGGTCAAAAAGACTGGTTCTTGGCAGAAAATGCCGCTTCTGTATGCAAATTGATCACTCCCTCCGCCAAAATTGACTGGAAAGAGTGGATTAAGAACCACAAAGAATTCAGTGATGTTGTTATTTCTGACCATGCCACTGGAAAGGCCCAGGTAATTATTGGAATTGACAATGAAATTCTAATGTTGGCAAGGCCAGGAACCACTTGCCTCAAGGGCAAGGTTCTAGCCTACCAAACTCCTCTTGGCTGGACAGTCTCAGGCTGTGTCAGCAATGAGGACGGGGAGCTGGTGAACACTGCCCCCTCGTATTCCTCTTGGGAGTATCCCCAGCGAGAGAAAACCTTACTTGACAAATTCCAACGTTTTAATTCCTTGGAAGAAGTCGGGGTAAAGGTGCGCTCCTCTGGGCTAAAATACAACCAGGAGAAGGAGCTGGCAGAGCTCAAAAAAGATGTTCAGTATGTTAATGGTTGTTTCCAAGTTTCCATGTTGTGGAAGCCCCCAGTTACCAGGGACCCCCCTGATTCTGTTGGCCAAGCCATAAGGCGTGCCGGCAGTATGGCGCATTGCCTGTCCAAAAACCCTAGGTTGTTGGAAACTGTCAGAAAAGGGTTTGAAGAGGATCTTAAAAAAGGTTATATCTCTGAGCTTTCCCAGCTCAAAAAATCCCGCATGCTGAATATCCCTTCCCACTGGGTTTTGCCCTGGATGATTGTA